AAGAATTATGTTTTATTGTAGTGCTCAAAATGTTGAATAAGAGTCCATAAGAACAGCTTTTAAAAGACTTTTTCTCATGTGTGTCTCATCCAAAGACGTTTATTCTTCCTAAGACCATTTATTCACACATTATACACAGATTTCATCAACTGTCCTTCACTGAGATTTAGCTGAGAAATATCTTGAACTAAATTAGTGCCACGAATGAAATGAAAATGTCATTGAGTTGATTATAATATGGTTCTCTCCCTCTGTCTGTTTTTTTTTTTTCCATCTTGTAGGAATTTTTGGAACAGAGACGACTGACGGACCAATGAAACAGACTGAATAATAAAACGCACACAAAGCTACACTGTGCTCAACTACTCAGATAGTCGTAAAAGGACGATAAGTACATTTTATTTAGCATTAAAGATCATTCACTGTTAATCACAGCTTTTCTCACCGATACCATGTGTCACTTCAGCTTATACGTGTGTTTAAATTAAGAAGGATATTTTTCTAACTAAGAAAGTCTTAGATTACAAAAGAAGCTTAAAAATGCATGTTTAACATCATGGATACAGTGGGGTCAGTATATAGCTGGTAATATTACTGTAAATAACTTACATGTAAATGTTAAATAGAAGCACCCTGTATGTCATGTATGTGATGCTGAAATTACAGAATTAGCAAATTAGGTTTTTGAGCCATTTTTATAAATGTTTTATTACGTGTTTACAATGTAAATTACAATGTATTTTAATACAAACTTTTTATTTCAAATTATATATCAAACCAGGTAATTATAAATGCAGTACACAAAAAATCCAAGAAAAACTCTTTTGTTACAGTGTGTTAATGAAGTTGGAATGTGGTGTGTGTTATCAGGTTGCCTCTTCCGTCTGTGTTAACTCCTCCTCAGGATTGCTTTCACACAGCAGCTTCACCTCCCGCATACCTGCAAAATAAAAACACAAACACATCCCTTCAGTTCTCCATCATTTAATTCGCTCATGTATCTCCTCTTCCCTTCATTCTGACCAAAGACTAGAGGAGAAAATGAAAGATGGCACAGTGCTTCGGTCTTGTTTTTCTGGCCAGGATCCAAGTACCGGTGACATTAGGGGCTTGTGGGGAAGGCGTCGTTTTGTTGCCAAAACAACTCATTCAGCTCAACGTATTCACATGGCTGCCATGAAAATAATAGAACTGAGAAGAGGTGGTTTTGGGAACTTTGTAAAAAAAAAAATATTGCAAAAGTAATATAAAAGTCATGAAGAACAAGTAAAGTCTGAGGAAGAAACTTTTTTTTATTGGCAGTTGCAGCCAACTGAATGGGAGGTTTGTTGCTTTTTTTTTTTTTTTTTTTTAACTTTTTTGAACAAAAATTTCCTCTGAGCATTTACACACAAATATTGAGCATAATCATTGCCTATGACAGTTTTGTGTTGTGGGTAGATGCCTGAGAAATAGATTTTGCTTAAATCCACAGTTTTGTTTAACACTGTGCATTAGGAAACATGTTTAATGGTGTGTGTGTGTGTGTGTGTGTGTGAGAGAGAGAGAGAGAGAGAGAGAGAGAGAGAGCGCATAATGAGGTGTAAATAAGGTGTATGAGGGCTTAATTATGTTTGTATGAGCATTAGTATGGAGAATAAGTACTACATCTGAACCCACAATGCAGTGCTCATTCAAAAGGGTGTCAGTGATAAAGTGTATATTTCCATGTGTTAATGTACTAACTGCGTATGTGTGTGTGATGTTTTCTTACCCAGAATGCCCTGTTCCTCCAGCTCCTGCTCTATCCTGTGCAAACGATTGTACTTGTTCATCCTCCCCCCTCCAGTCAGCCCACCCAGCTTAATGAATGATACACCCAGGCCTACAGCCTACACACACACACACACACACACACACACACACACAAACACTGTATAGTTGTAAAGTTACATATAAGCAATGCAAATACTGCTTAAACCCTGAATGTATTAATGTAATGTATTCTCTGTACAAAAAGCACACATCGATTTTTATGTAAATACATAAGAGATAATGTCACACCACATCTATCATGGAGTCATCACCAATCTCCTCACTGTTCACTGCTAGAATGGTCTCCCCTTCTGCAAACACACACAAATAGTATATATCCAAAGAAAATAGTGTAAAATATTTTAAATGTTTGTATAAAACCAAACCTGAGTGTCATATTATTGATACCAAAGTGTTATGTAAAATGCAAAGTAAAGTTTGAATGAAAAAAAAAGCTTCCCAAAAGCTTTGCAGCACAAAGATCATCTTTAAATGGCAGAGCGAGCATCGCATTGAACATCCTGATGATCTTAATTTGTGATGCTTCTAGGAACTGCCTAATTGGGTGTGGCCTAATCTTCTAATGAGTAATTAATTGCATCATTGTCATATAATGATGCAATTAATTACTCATTAGAAGATTAGGCCACTAATAAGTAACCAATATTAACCCAGCCCACTTTAATTTCTATTGAAGTACAATTATTCATAATTGTGTTGCATTTTATTGCAAAATTCTGTTTTAATGGTTTTGCTAATATTCCAGAGACAAATCAGATGATTATCATAATCAAATTTTCAGTCAAAGTTTACTGCTAGTTCATAACTTGATTAGATTTTCACGGTGAGTTTTAGGATATTTAGTCAGGTGTGTTTCTGCCTCATTGAGGTACCATACATACATGTATGTTTCCTTTAAGATAATTTTCTCTCTCTCTCTCTCTCTCTCTCTCTCTCTCTCTCTCTCTCTCTCTCTCTCTCTCTCTCTCTCTCTCTCTCTCTCTCTCTCTCTCTCTCTCTCTGATGTCCTTGATGAGCTTTTCAGTGAGCTAATGTCTATTAAAATGTCTTCTCTTTCTTTCAGTGTCTCTTTCTCTCACTGTCTCTCTGGCCATGAGAGTTATTCATCCTGTGGATATGCAAGTCATGTGTGTTTAGCTCAGTAAGTGTGGGCTGTTTAACAGCTACTGTTGAGTATGTATGTGTGTGTACATCAGTGTGTGTGTGTAGCTTTCAGTCTCTCTTCACATTTAAACAAGCAGTCAAATCTGAATTTTTTCCCCTTATGATGTGTTTCATCTGACATGTATTCTTTCACAGTACAGATGCCTAGATCCCATTTTATTTCCTTTTCAATACAATACCTATACCAGTTATTATTTTTGTTTGTATCTGCTTGTGATATTTTCTAATGAATTTAGTGTATTTCTCAAAATGTAAAGAAAATATTAGTAACCTCTGCAACCCTGAACAGGCAGTCACTATATAAATGCATCATGCACTGCCACATGTTTGTGTTAATAAACTAGCCTGTGCACCTCAGTGGCTGGGGTTAGCACCCAGCGTGGGGCTCAAACCCACAATCATGAGATCAAGTGTACCATGCTCTACCAACTGAGCTAGCCAGGCACCTACATGAGCAGGGAAAAGTTGGAAAAATAAAAAAAAATATAATAATAATTAAAAAATAAATAAATAAAAAAACTACTTGTGCAGCTGCATGGAGAATGCAAAGTGCTATGATTTAAATAAAATGAGAGCAGGCTCTGACGACTACCTGTTCGCTCAGTGACAGCATGGAGGAGGTCAGTGAGGGTCATCTCGCTTCTGTGCCTAAGAGTGATCCATGTGACCCCTGGGGGGAGGGGCTTGGCCTCCTTCCAGCGAGGGCAGGGTCTGTATGCTGCATCTGCAATTAGGCAAGACTGGCCAATAAGTGAGCTCAGCTTCTGCCACTGTTCCTCATCCTGTACAGAGAGAGAAGAGAAGGGTTGCCAGATTTTATTTAGCAAGAGACTTATAAATTATAGTGACACATTAACTCTAGGTTGCCAGATTTTGTCAACAGTCATCAGTCAGACTGAAACCACAGACTTTCAGATTTAATTTTCCATAGAGAAAAGCTCTCTGTAAGACCAAGAGCCAAGGTTACCTGATTTTTTTCTGTACAGTACAACAAGGGCTGTCAGTTTCTAATCTTGGGTTGCCAAATTGGATAAGACTGTATTACCTCCATTCCTTCTAGTAGCTTATGGTGATATCCTTGTTACAAAGCATTTGAGAAACCAGATACAAACTATCTATGTGTATAGAGTATTCTGAGAGTGAATGTGGAGCTGCTCTCTTACCTCTTTCCTGAAGGGGTCGATAAGGGCCACAATAGCTGGATATTTACTGATCAAACCCACAAACATGTCCACCAGCTCATCCGGAGACTTCAGAGTCCCTGCCATCACCTCATACTTTCCTCTGGACTATGGTACACAAAAAAGACAACTAATTTCAACAAACAGACTCAATTTAAATAAAGCTCTTTAGTATAAATTCACTTACACACTATGCTTTGAATTTCTATTGAGCTAATCATGGACCCAGTCCTATGATTGTAGAGAATACAGTAGCGTCCAGAAGTATGACCATTCGTACTGGAAAGTGACGAAGTGATAGGTGACCATTTTTTTCTGTAATTTGATAATTTGATGCAAATTAGTTGTGATGATATAAAGCACCAAATCTACATGACTGACTTCCAAAAATGCAGACCAGTCTGGATTTTCTCCTTCCACTGAAACAGTTCTAACCTATGTTTAGTTTAGGCAAAAATGGAATAAAAAAAAGCTTCTAACCATATTAAATAACATTTTAAGCAAGGAATAACATACTCTGCAGTTGTGCTGTTATAGGAAAATAATAAAGGACAGGGTGTTGTGATGCAGCCCAATGCGAAGCGGTGTTACAGGTACCACCCAGAGGTCGTTTATTTTCCAATAACAGGATGTCCCGTAGTGTTTTATTCCTCTTATACCACAGAAATTTGTCAACAATTGCAATTTTAATTTATTAGAGAACCACACATCATACTTTTTATTAGTTTATAGTTACATTTAATGTTGTGGAACACCCACAAGACAAATTAGTTCCTGTTATCACGGCATGTTTTTTTAAAGATCTGTTTATTATTACACTTAGATTATTTAGCATGTGGGTCCCTGGTGGTCTAGTGGCTAAGGCTCCTGCACTCTTGCTACCACGGCCTGGGTTCGATTCCTAGGCAGGGAATCAACCCGGCCACTGCGAGTGTACTCTCAGTGCTGGTCCCATGTCTGGATAAAATAGGGGAGTTGTATCAGGAAGGGCATCCTATTATATAGAGCATCCAGCACACAAGTCCCTGTTTAAGACCTTACTATAGAAACAACAACGTCAGAGTTGAGAATGTTTGGAAAGCTATTGTGTTAAAGCAATACATCGTTTCCAGATGTTTAAGCGCAAAATATCCCTCACTGTATTTTATATACTAGTGTTGTTGGTGCCAATAATTTTAACCAAGGTCTTGAGGAGAAAGGGTGTGTTTGATTACTGTTGCAGTTGAATTAAGCTGACCTTCTGGAGCAGTGCTTTTAAAGCATGATTCATCAAAAATGCTTTACTCAGTAATAATGATGGAAAACCTGCAGACATTTGTGCAATGGTTGAGAGTCTTGGCAACTGGTCTGCATTTTAGTTTTATTTCTCATTAACCATATCTCTCTTTTTCTCTTGAGGTTGACCTTTGACCCTGCTTCCACTTACATAGTCAATGAGCGTATGAGCAGCGCAGTTTATCACCAGCCGGAGCTCTGTGCCGATCGGCAGGCCCAGGTTTGAGCACGCCTCCATCAACAGATCGAGAGCTTGTTCGGAGCGTTCAAGCCCAAGCTGAATCGCGCCACCATCTGAAACCCCCACTACCACAGGCTGAGAGAGAGGGAAAGAGACAAATTATGATATTACTTTGCAATCCATTGATACTCAATTCATTTATACATCACTTGATTTTCTGTAAGCTTTTTTATGGGTATTTTACATGCAATGATCCAGGTTTAAAAACTGAAAACTCACCCCCGACTTTCCCGCTGTAGTAGTTGCTATTCTCCTTATCTCTCTCTGAACATCACGGCATATCTCGATGATCTGAACACATATAAATACATACAACAGTAAGCTTTACAGCATTTAAAGATCCCTTGAGTTATTCAAGGACAAACACACACTGCTAACATATTCATGGACTATGTGAGTGGAGGCAGGGTTAAAGGTCAAACGCAAAAAAGGAGATATGGTTCATTTAAAATGAAGGAAAATGCTGACCAACTGCTGCGAATCTCGGCTGTTATTATTATTATTATTATTATTATTATTATTATTATTGTTGTTGTTGTTGTTGCACAAACGAATGTAGAGGTATCTGATTGGCTGTAATAGGTCACTTTATTTCTCTTTTTATCACTAAAAAAAGTAATATAAACTTAATAGCAAATAAAAATGAACTAATAAAATCAACCGTAATAACTGAGGGGTGTGCAGTATTCATCTGTGTGTGTGTGTACCTCTCTGGTTCTATGTGGTACAGTGGGCAGCAGCATGACCTCCTCTAGCAGGTTGAGCTTTCCAGCTGATGCTTTTCCACAACTTAACACTGATACCAGCGGCATGGGCATGAACACTCTTAGAGCCTGAGAAAGATCAGTGGAAAAGATAAGAAGAAAATACAATCACAGCAGAGGTGTGGAAATAAAGTGAAAGAGAGAGAGACAGAGAATGGGAAGGAGGTAGGAATGTGTAAAGTAAGAGAGGGGGAAAAATGATAAGCAATACACAATCAGCATTTTTTTTTATGTTAACTAATCTCATATCTCGTCCAGCACCTAGAGCTTTTCATTTATTTTCCAATCACCATCCCCTTCTGTCTTCTCTTTGATTTGGTATAAATCGCTAGTTTTAAGCTGCCATGTGATGTTGCCTTTCAATATGTTCCCCCTCTAATTCCTTGTCACATTGGTGTTATTCTAATCGGTGCAGTTGCTCTAACCTTGGTGATGATGCTCTCGATTTGGTGTTGATGTCACTCGTTGCATGTTATTCATTCAATATACCATTTTTTTTTGCACATGCTTCTAAAGAGCTTGAAGAACTGTGTGTGTTGCATTAGTGTTGCCCTTCCAGAGCAGAGCTTTAAAGGCATACATAATAAAAAAATAATAATTCTGTGTATATACACCGATGAGCCATAAGATTAAAACCACTGAGAGGTGAAGTGAATAACATTGATTATCTTGTGGGAGCAAAGGCTAGCCCATCTGGTCTGATCCCACAGAAGAGCTAATGTAGCACAAATTGCTTAATGCTGGCTATGATAGAAAGGTGTCAGAATACACAGTGCATCGCAGCTTGCAGGCCAGTCAGAGTGCCCATGCTGACCCCTGTCCACCGCTGAAAGCGCCTACAATGAGCATGTGAACATCTGGAAGAAGGAGGAACTGGACCATGGCGCAATGGAAGAAGGTGGCCTGGTCTGATGAATCATGTTTTCTTTTACATCATGTGGACAGCCGGGTGCATGTGCGTCACTCATCTGGGGAAGAGATGGCACCAGGATGCACTATGGGAAGAAGGCAAGCCGGAGGAGGCAGTGTGATGCTCTGGGCAATGTTCTACTGGGAAGCTTTGGGTCCTGGCATTCATGTGGATGTTACTTTCACACGTACCACCTACCTAAACATTGTTGCAGACCAAGTACACCCCTTCATAGCAACCGTATTCCCTAATGGCAGTGGCCTCTTTCGGCAGGATAATGCGCCCTGCCACACTGCAAAGGAATGGTTTGAAGAACATGACAAAGAGTTCAAGGTGTTGACTTGGCCTACAAATTCCCCAGATCTCAATCCGATCAAGCATCTGTGGGATGTGCTGGATAAACAAGTCTGATCCATGGAGGCCCCACCTCGCAACTTACAGGACTTAAAGGATCTGCTGCTAATGTCTTGGTGCCAGATACCACAACACACCTTCAGAGGTCTTGAGGTGGGGGTGTGGTTAGCACATTTGCCTTGCGCCTCTAGGGTTGGGGGTTCGATTCCTGCCTCTGCCCTGTGTGCGTGGAGTTTTGGGGGGTTTCCTCCAGGTTCTGTGGTTTCCTCCCCAGTCCAAAGACATATGTTGTAAGCTGATTGGCATATCTAAATTGTCTGTAGTGAGTGAATGAGTGTGTGTGCGATTGTGCCCTGTGTCCAGGGTGTCCTTGTTCCCCGAGTCCCCTGAGATAGGCTCCAGACTACCCGTGACCCTGAGTAGGATAAGCTATATATATATGTGTGTGTGTGTAGGTAGCGTGTAGTGTGTTAACCTGTGGGTCTCTGAGATTGAGGATGTGTTTGTAGAGGGGCATGGCTGTGAGGCTTGCTGCAGATTTGGCTGCTGCCATCGACAGAGCACCTACTACCATCGCCCCTGGCAACATGGGCTCCGGCTCCTCAGGAGGAGGCAGCGGCTTCTCTGAGGCGCTGCCTTTCTTACCTGGAAATGCAACAGCCCAATAAAAGACACAACATCATTACTAATACTAGAACATCAACAACAAAATAAAACAGCATCAACATCAATGCCAGAGTATCAAGACCAATATAAGATCATCAACATCAATGCTGGAGCATCAAGACCAATACTACAGCATCAACACCAATGCTAGAGCATCCACAACAATACAACATCAACACTAATGCTACAGTATCCACATCAATGCTAGAGAATCAACACCAATGTTAGGGCATCAAGACCAATACAACAGCATCAACACTAATGCTACAGCATCCACACTGATACTAGAGCATCAATACTGATACTAGAGCTTTTTTCTAGATTCTTATTTTCACTCTACCTTTCTCTCCTTTCTGCTTGTCTTTGCTTGTAGCAGGTGCATGAAGAGTTGTGGTGTCAGATGTTGCTTCAATCTTCTCCTCTTCTTCACCTTTCTTTTCTCTGTTACGACCATCTTGGTCTTCAAGGTAACGGGCCATGTAGAAATCACTGCAACACACATACACACTTATAGATCATCTGAATTAAATTTAGGATGAGCGTTACTGTAACTAAATTCTGTTCACACAGTTTGTGTGTGTGTGTGTGTGTGTGTGTGTGTGTGTGCGTGCACGTCTACCTGAGCAATTTGTCCAGGTGTGTTTGGTGGGCGGGGTTAAAGCCACTCAACATGGAGCTCAGCTGATCTCTGATCCACTCCAGCGCCACCCCTATGGACGCTTGACAATGGTTACCATTGGCAACCTCATTCCATGTCTCCATGACATCACCATCCATACCAGTAACCACTGCATTACTGACTAACTAAACAACACGCACACAAGTAATCACCATCTATAAGGCATAGCTCAGAGAGTAAAAATATATAAAACAGCGTGTCCAACCACCAACAGGAAGGTATCATTGCTATCTGAGTGCTCTGTCTCTGTTTTGCTGCTGACATGTTGTAGCATTTTTCTTTCTGTTTATAGTTTAATAATTTGGGCTCCCACACAACAGTGCATAGCATCTTCTCCATGCGTATACATCGTTAGTCTCTCATGTGACACAGCAGTTTATCTCACTGGTTGCTTTTTGAAATGTCAGTTTGTTCAAAAGTTATTTTTCACTGCAACATTCATAATGCACCAGATTCAGAACATGAGCAAATAAACATGAGGTTATAAAGAGGTTATATGTTAGAGTGCGGCTTCTCAGCTCCAGTCCTGGAGAACCACTGACCTGTAAAATTTAACATTTTTACTGTTTTACTAAGCCCTTCATGAGCTAGACCAGGTGTGTTTGAAATACAGAAGGCTTGAAACTGTATGTGTCAATGGGGTTGTCATTAGAGAACCCCTGTGTTAAAGCAGAAAAACACTGGCTTTGTTGTATTCCTATTCAAAGCATGGAAAACACCTACACAGAAAAATCTGTCATCTCTCTGAGTATCAGCCTACCTTCTCTTCATTCCTGACGACGCAGTAAACATCCACCTGCAATGCTGCTTCGCCCCTGCCATCATACACCTCTCTGCCCACTACTGCACTAATCACAGGTGTGTGTGAGAAGCCAGAGAAGTAGTTTGCCTAACAAAAAAAAAAAGTACAGATCAGTACAAATTAACTAATGATCATTAAACAAGCCCTCATTTAGCCTAGAACTTATGAGTAAATCAACAAATGGAAGAAAGTCTGTGTTTTGGAATGCCAAGTCCATGGCTC